ATGGAATACTCAGGATGAAAAGGTGAAATCTGCTATGATTAAATGGGCACAAGATGTCGGACATAACATAATGATGGCTGACTGGGAACAGTTATGGACCACAGGTATGAAGTTTACGGCATGTAATGCCTTAAGAGAGAATATTATGAAAATGATATGCAGGTGGTACATGACCCCAGTCAAGCTTGCAAAAATTTATCATTTGCCCGATAACAAATGTTAGAAATGTAAAGAAACTGAAGGTACATTCTTTCACCTTTGGTGGACGTGGCCAGGGATTAAGGCTTTCTGGGAAATGATATACAATGAATTGAAAAAAGTATTTAAATATACCTTCTTGAAAAAACCAGAGGCCTTTCTCCTGGGCATAGTCGGTCAATTGGTGCCAAAGAAGGATAGAACTTTTTTCATGTATGCCACAACAGCAGCAAGAACACTCATTGCAAAGTATTGGAAGACACAAGATCTACCCACTCTGGAAGAATGGCAGATGAAGTTGATGGACTATATGGAAGTGGCAGAAATGACTGGCAGAATCCGAGACCAGGGAGAAGAGTCGGTGGAAGAAGATTGGAAGAAGTTCAAAGACTATCTACAGAAATATTGTAAAATTAATGAATGTTAGAACGATGTTGGATAGAAATTAAGTGGTTTCCACCTGTAATGCTTTAAGGGAATATGAAAAATGGGTTGTTAAGAGGTAAAAATCTAACGTTACTATTTTAAGACCAAAGATTAGGACAAATAAAGAGGGTAAGGATTTGCTGAACCAACAAACTGAACTGGAATACAAAAAAGGGAGGTATGAGGAGGTCCGGGAAACAAGCAAATGAAAGATAAGTGATTGAAAGATTGAATTGTTTTTAACTATTTTTATTTTGTTTTTTTCTTTTTCCTTTTTCTATTTTGTAATATTTTGAAAATCCTAATAAATATCTTATAAAAAAAAAAAAAGAAAGAAGCAACAACAACCGTGAATACCGATTGCATTCTCTGGATTGAGTTCTGTTCCAGACATGGGACGACTAAGCAAACAACGTCAGTTTCTGCTCCCGTTTCTGTTTTTGTTGGAATTCACTGACATCACTACCAACAACAAATAACAAGATCAAAGTCAGGCACAAAAAATTAAGGAGATGAGAGAGCGATTCCCTCTAAAATACCATGCCTGGGTAAAAATGCTCCTTGCATTTAATTTATCTACTGGAAATGCTAGTCAAGGGTGAGCAGAAGGTGGATTGGGAATCTACTGGTAGGTCTCTGGGTTATTCACAGTAGACTAGCAAGTGTTTCTGATTCCCATTTGCCTGCTATACAAAGTAGCTGGCTGCTTTAGGTGCAGTGAAAGACACAGTCCTGTCACCAGTGTGGAAGTAAGAGTCATCTGCCAATTTTGGTCAGATTCTGCATGCATGCATGAATCTTTATTTGTGTCAGCCATAGGATATATAAAGAATAGGGGGGAAAGTCAATTACATAAAATATATTTTGGGGTTGGGAATCAATAGTCAAATGGTGGATCTTATTCTGATTGCCCCAGCTGAAAACCTTGCAACCTTTGCTGTCACCTGCTCATCTTGATATCCCAAGAGAAAGGACACTGTGGCAGTGGTTGGGTGACCCGGAATGGACAATAAAAGAGGGATGATAATCTCATTCCTGAAGTCTTTTTAAAGAGTGCAAGCCAGAAGGGCATGCGCCACCGATTCGGTATATTTCAGAGTCTGTATGTGAAATGAGGAGGAGGAACCTTCTCGTCCTTCACCTCAGACCATGGAATGTCTTGGAATGACCCTGCTATTTTAGCATGCTTCTACCAGTCCACATCCAAAGCTGTTGTTGCTGGCATCCATCTTTCTTGGGATTTGTGATTGGCACCCATTGCCAGTCAGTGAAAACCAGGAAGCACAGAACAAAGTATCTACAGGCAGTCCCCCCCCCCCCCGGCAATTCTTGGTTTATTGGTGAGTCCCTCACATACCAGATTATCAGGGGTGGAGTTTTCAGCAACACTGAAAGCTGCACAGGATTTCCTGGTAGCAGAAGCAAGATCCTCAGAGGTGACTTCAAGCTCATAATAATCTAGGATACAGTTGGGGGGGGAATATTATTCAGTTTGCATTTGAAAGTGAACTTATCTAATTAATACTTTCTGTAACAATGCGCAAACTGAAACACAGCCGTCCTTCAAAATCCCCACGTCTCTGAATTTTCCAATGCGGTTCTCCAGCAAAGTAACATGTACAATAATGCGTATAACTAGGGCAAATTTGCCCAAAATGCATAATTCCTGGTAACAGTATACAAACATGCATTGTATTAGGGAAATTTACAAACAAAAATATGAGTATCATGATAAATTTGCTCTAAAATGCTGATATAATTTCATGCGGACTTTAAAAACAAAATTCACAAGCTGGTGTGGAAATGTGGAGAATGATGGGAAAATGAGAAACTGACTGAAATTGACAGGCTTATCCATCTCTTCCCTAGGACCAGCTACCACTCCGTTTCCTCATTTTCAATTAGTCATCAAAATCAAGAAGGCCCTGCATGCTAAATATCCATGAATGCTGGAGTGAATTCCCGGTGGTAGCTGTCATAATAAACTGACTTGGCCTGAGCATAAGACTTTGGTCAATGAACAGTAGCCCTCTTCAAGTCCTCGAGCGAAAAAGTACTCTGACTGTATGCAATGAACCATCAGACACATTGCAACCAGGAACAGACCGAGCAGTGTACGACTTTCTGTCTTAAACTGTCTGTGTGATTGCCTGCCAGTCCTTACAATAACACTGGGAAGAAAGAAGCAATTACTAATCAAAATCAAAAGAACCATCTATTGGATCCTGACTTCTAAATCAATAAAAAGAGAGAGAGAGAGAACAAAATGCTATCCATTTTGAAACTAGCCAGATGTAGCTGCAGCATACCAAGCAATTTATTCCAACAAATTAAGTGATATTAAGCAGGATGCTTGTCAATCTGGGGTGGAACTGGGATCCTGGGGTACTGGGTTCAGGAGAGGAATTGGATGACAGCTGCACATCTCTCTCCACAAAACTGAGTGTGGCCATAGCATATGAGTTAGCAACACAGAGCTCCTCAGAACTGGAAAGCTTTAATTCTAAATGACAACAACATCTTGTTCAGCACCTAATTTTCAAGCAGAGTCAGATTTGAGCAAGGCTTGGGGGATCTGTATTGATACGGTCCTCTTCCCATTAAGAGGAGACTAAGCTAAGAATTTACACCTTGACAACTTGAAGATTAACAATTCCAGCCCTCCTCTCTTAGCCTACTCCTTCCGTCATCTACCAATATGAAGAAAGAATAGTAAGCAGGAATTTTTCAGGAAGAGAATTTTTAAAAAAATAATTTTATTAGACTTCCAGAAATTCCACATACAATGCACATATTTTTTATATTATTGACTTCTCACCCCATTTTCCATGATGTTTTCTTTTGATGCACCCTGTTTTCCCTCTTTGTACATCATAATCATGACACAATGATCTCTAATTGCTCATAATTCAAATCCTGGTCATGGATTATTCAAATTACAATATTTTTTTCAAATAATCTGAAAAGGGCTTCCATTCTTCAATTATTATTATTTTTTAAATCATTATTTGATTCTCTTATTTTAGTTGTTAGCTTTATTGATTCAATATAGTCCATATCTCTGCTTACCCTTTCTCCTTTAGTAGGAATTTATTCGTTTTCTCAGTTCCGAAATCAGGAAGAGAATTTTATTATAAAAACACAAAACTATGGGAGACTTTCACCTCCCCCCAAGAACAGTGGGCAACTTCCTTGAACCGCCCCCCCCCCAAGTTTCTCCACTTACAAATTCCACGGCAATTTTTTGGGAGGCCACTTTTGCTCAGTCATATACAGGCCAGCTGCTTTTGCTTGGCGCTGTAACATGCTTATGATGTCTGCAGTGACCACAAGATTCTGCTTGGACCCCAATCCCACACTTTGCAAAGCTGGCTGATTCAGCTTGGACCAGCCTAATTCAGCTCAGAGGGTCTACGTCAGATCTATCAGGTGGGGACGGACACATACATACACAAATATACATTCATCTCAATTCCCTATTTGGTAGCTCAAGAAAAAACAAAACACCTCGGGATCCTGAGCCAGCCCCGCTGCCATCACAATCTAATCTGTGCCTGATCACCGTGGCAGCTCTAATCTGGTGTACCAGAGCAGTGATTTGTCTGCCTCCTGTCATTCATGCAAGGGGGTAAAGTTTGTGAAGCTGAGTAAAGTTTGGCAGGCTTGACTTCTCACACCTGACACTACATCTTGCCTCATACTTTGTAAAGATCTCTCCATGCATTGCAGCCACCTGAAGGAGTGTCTCCATCCCCATCGCTCAGCCCAGACACTGAGGTCCTCCTCCAAGGGTCTTCTGCTGGTTCTCTCACTGCGAGAAGCGAAGTTACAGGGAACCAGGCAGAAGTCCTTCTCGGTAGTGGTGCCCTTCCTGTGGAACGCCCTCCCTTCAGATGTCAAGGAGAAAAAGAATGACACAACTTTTAGAAGACATCTGAAGGGAGGTTTTTAATGGGGAGGTTTTTAATGCTTGATGTTTTGGTGACGTTTTTAGATATGCTGTAAGCCACCAAGAGTGACGGGAGAAATCCAGCCAGATTGGTGGGGAAGAAGAAGTAGAAGAAGAAGACACACATTCTGCTTTCAAAGCAGTAGTTCACAACCCTGTTAACTTTCTTGTCAAGGTGCTAGTCATAGCTGTGATCAATTTTCACATTTATTCCACTTGCCCTACAGCGTAATCACTGTGACCATCAGTAATTAATTGTAAAGTTTCTATACTCCTCCCGTCTCTGCTTCTTTGTGGATGCTGATCGTTGAACACTTCTTGGCTACAAAATGGACAAGCAAGTGAGCAAACAAGTATATGACAGATTCTTTGGAATGTATCTCTTTCAAAGGAAATCTGCAGGCACAAAATATTTTTTTTTTTTTTAAAGCAATTTATTGGATTTTACAATAAGAATAAATGTAATAAACAATATAACATTCGTCTTAACATAGTTTCACATTTTCTTTGGACTTCCTCACATCTCCCGCTCCCACCTTCATCATTATAACATTTTGTCAGCAATTTATCATCTTATTTAAGTTCTTATATCTCTTCAATATTTCATAATCTTAAAGTTCTCATAAAGAGTTAAACTTTCACAGTTTTTCTTATTTTCTTAAAAATTTCTAGGTTAAGTGGTGCTCAGTTATTTAGTCTAGCATCTTATTCAGCATTCAGTCAAATCACAATGTTTTTGTAGATAGTTCTTAAATTTCTTCCAATCCTCCTCGATTCTCTCTTCTCCCAGGTCACGGATTCTGCCAGTCATTTCAGCCAGTTGCATATAGTCTATCAGTTGCATCTGCCATTCTTCCAGTGTGGGTAGATCTTGAGTTTTCCAATGTTTTGCGAGTAGTATCCTTGCTGCTGTTGTTGCATACATAAAAATGTCTGGTCCTTCTTTGCCACCCCTTGGCTGACAATACCCAAAAGGAAAGCCTCTGGTTTCTTAGTGAAAGTATATTTAAATACCTTTTTCAGTTCATTATAAATCATTTCCCAGAACGCCTTCACTTTAGGGCAGGTCCACCAGAGGTGAAAGAACGTTCCTTCACACTCTTTACATTTCCAGCACTTGTTATCAGACAGGTGGTAAATTTTTGCGAGTTTGACTGGGGTCATATACCATCTATAAATCATTTTCATTACATTTTCTTTCAAAGCATTACATGCAGTAAATTTCAATCCATTACTCCACAGCCTTTCCCAGTCCTCAAACATAATATTATGCCCAATATCCTGTGCCCACCTTATCATAGCCGATTTAACCATTTCATCTTGTGTATTCCATTCCAACAGCAAGTTATACATCCTTGAAAGTATCTTAATCTTTGGTTCTAACAATTCTGTTTCTAATTTCGATTTCTCCACCTGGAACCCTAGTTTCTTATCATTTTTAAAAACTTCTTTAATCTGAGCATAGTGTAACCAATCTCGCACTTTGTCTTTCATTTTCTCCAAACTCTGCAATTTCCAATTGTCTCCATCTGTTTCTAATATTTCCCAATATTTTGGCCATTTGGCCTCCATATTGGGTCTTGTTCGGGCCTTAGCTTCCAAAGGTGAAAGCCACCTTGGTGTTTTATTTTCCAGCAAGTCTTTATATTTTGTCCAGACATTAAACAGTGATTTTCTAACAATATGGTTCTTAAAGGCCTTATTTGCTTTAACTTTGTCATACCATAAATATGCATGCCATCCAAAAACATTGTTAAACCCTCCAAATCCAACACATCAGTGTCTTCAAGAAGTAGCCAATCTTTTAGCCAGCAGAACGCTGCGGCTTCGTAATACAACTTTAAGTCCGGCAGGGCAAAGCCCCTCTTTGTTTTGCATCAGTTAATATCTTAAACTTAATTCTGGGCTTTTGCCCTGCCAGACAAACTTCGAAATGTCTCTCTGCCACTTCTGAAAGCACTCCATTTTGTCCAAAACCTGAAGTGTTTGAAATAAAAACAACATTCTTGGCAATACATTCATCTTAATTGCAGCAATTCGGCCTAACAAAGAAAGTTTCAATTTTGACCAACTGTCTAAGTCTCTCTTAATTTCTGTCCAACATTTTTCATAATTATCCTTAAATAGACTTAGATTTTTGCTGTTATGTTTACCCCTAGGTATTTTACTTTTTAACCACATTAAGTTCCGTCTCATTCTGAAACCGTTCTGACTCTGTCTCAGTCAAATTTTTCCCCAAAACCTTGGTTTTCTGTTTATTTAATTTAAATCCCGCCACCCGACCAAAGTCATTAATCAATTGTAATACTCTTTTCGTACTAGGCTCTGGCTTCTGCAAGGTCAAAACCAGGTCATCTGCAAAAGCTTTTAGTTTATATTGTTTCTGACCAACCTGAATTCCTTCCACCAACTGGTCCCCTCTGATCATGTTCAATAGCACTTCCAGGACCGAAATAAATAACAAGGGGGAGATAGGGCAACCTTGTCGTGTCCCTTTTTCAATTTTGAACTCTTCTGTGACCACATTATTAACTATCAGTTTAGCTTTCTGTTCTGAATATATCGCCTCAATCCCATTCTCAAAACCCCGTCCCACTCCCATCTCTTTTAAGTTTCCCATCATAAATTTCCAAGAAATATTATCAAAGGCCTTCTCCGCATCTATAAAAATTAAAACTGCTTTTGTATTTATGTCAGTTTGGAGAAGTTCCAAGATATCAATAATGTTCCTTGTGTTAGCAAACAGATGTCTGCCTGGGAGAAAACCGGCCTGGTCTTTATGAATTACTTCATTTAAAACTTTTTTAAATCTACTTGCCAATATATCTGCAAATATTTTGTAATCCACATTTAAAAGGGAGATGGGACGGTAGTTCTTCAGTTGTGTCTTTTCAGTTTCTGACTTTGGTATCAATGTGATAAACGCTTCCTTCCACGAATCCGGTGCCCTCTTCCCCTCCATAATTTCATTGCTAACCTCCATCAAGGGTTGTATCAAGTAGTCTTTTAATGTCTTGTAATACTTGGAGGTCAGCCCGTCTGGCCCTGGAGATTTGCCAAGTTGCATGTTCTGAATAGCTTGTTCAATCTCCTGTCGTGTTATTTTAGAGTTCAGGGTTGTCCTATTTTCTTGTGACAGTTTAGATAATCCATTTTGCCAAAAATTGTTTAATCTCGACTTCGTCTTGCGGCCCTTGGGTATATAGTTTTTTAAAATATCTCTGGAAACACTTTCTAATGTCCACTGGATTCTGAATGTTTCTTCCATCAACCTCTAAATTTGTAACCGTATTCAATCTTTGTCTTCTCTTCAACTGCCAAGATAGCAGTTTTCCACATTTATTCGCCGACTCAAACGTTTTTGTTTCATTAATTTAATCTTCCATTCAATTTCCTGATTTATCAATTTAGAATATTGTGTTTGATACAGTTTAATTTCTCTCAGAGTTGGCTGTGACTTTGGATTCACTCTTAATTTCTTCTCTAATTCTTTTATTTTATCCAAAATCTTGTCTTTTTTCTCATTTTGTGTTTTTTTCTTTACTACATTCTGTTGTATCAGAAATCCCCTCATGACAGCTTTGCTTGCGTCCCAGACGATTCTTTTTTCCACCGAATTGTTCATGTTTATCTCGAAATAGTCTTTCAAAACTTTTTGGGCCTTCTTAGTAATTTCCTGATCTCTAAACAGATTGTCATTCATCTTCCATCTAAAGGATCCAGTTGGTAGTAGTGTCATATCCATCTTTACTGCGTTGTGGTCAGAGCAGGTCTTTGGGCAGATTTCCACTTTTCTAACCCTAGGTGCCAGGCCTCTAGAGATCCATATTTGGTCGATTCTTGTCCAGGTCAGTTGGGCTTCAGAAAAGAATGTTCCTTCTCTACCTAGTGGGTTCTTTGTTCTCCAAATGTCGATCAAGTCCATATTGTCAGTCATTTCAAAAAGGTTTTAGGTAGTCTGCCATCTTTTGTAACATTTTGACTTTGCGACTTGTCCATGTTAGTTGACACGACCCTGTTCCTGTCTCCCATCATTATGATGTTGTTGTAATCCAGATGATCCAGCATTGTCCCCTGCAACTTCTTGTAAAATTCCGATTTCCCTTCATTGGGCGCATAAATTCCTAATATCAGCAGTTTCTCTCCTTGATATTGTATCTCAATAGCCAAAATCCTTCCATGTTCATCTTTAAATAGAAATTTAGGTGACAGGCTCTCTTTTGCATATATCACCACTCCTCTCTTCTTCACTTTGTCCGACGAAATAAATTCCTGGCCCAATCTTTTATTTATTAACACTTTTCTGTGGAGCCTCGTCACATGTGTTTCTTGTAAACAAATAATGTCCAATTGTTCTTTTTTAATATATGAAATATTTTCTTCCTTTTCTCCGGAATATTACAACCATTAATATTCCAGCTCAACAGTTGCAGAGACATCCTGGATCTATCTGGTTATTTCTCCCGGGGTGGTGTCTTCTCTGGGTCTTCAAGTTCCCCAGGTGGAGGTATTGATGCTGGCTTTGCCCCAGGCCCGGAAGGTAGTTCAATTCCTTTATGTAGGTCCTCTCCGTATGTAGCCAGAAATTTATCTCTCTCTTCCAATGTTCTAATTT